ATAGATTTTTTAAAAATGTCAAGAAATATGTAAATTCATATTGGTTTAGATGGCAGAGTATGCCTATAGGCCTATCATAGCAAAGAACAATTCCTATTTTAGATTTTTTGTCACCTTACACGCTGAATTTCGCGGCATTGTTTTTTTAATGAGTCAATTTCTTTTAAAAAAAGTAGTATGAGTAACGTAACATAGTGTTATGGGGTAGGGATGTATGCATTGCTATACGAATCTATGATGACTACTCCTATAACTAACACTCCAATTATAACCTTGTAATGACGGGAACACTACAAAAATATACTATGGCTAACCCCCAACTGTCTTCACTCCTATGTCCGATTTCATCGGTAACATTGTCGTGTCACAAATATTTTATTAAACGCGCGCACATACTCTCGAACCAAATTGTCTATCATCACGTTAACACCATCCTTATTAGTCTCTTATCTATCTACGCTACGACACGTAGCCCATTATCATTACGATAAGAATGGATGGGATAATAATGAAATTTGTCTTATTTACATCCAATTATTACGGAAAATCTATGCTCTTGTTACTCAAAAAAAATCTTTTTGGAGTAGGCAGCCCTGCTTATGTCAATTGGTCATTTTATGATAAGCAGAATGTTTTAATGCAAAATGATGGAGTAGATCTCCTTAATATTGGAATCTGTGGATTACACAATGTTCATAGAGCTGCTAAAGCAGTTATGAAGGCTAAAAACCTGGACTAAATTTTTGAAGACACTCCAGCTAGGAGGAGAGATCTTCTATATTTCCTCTTCGTTTTTGCAAACATCGCTGGCTAGAACTCTAATGTGGCTCAAACAGCTCAAACTCTAGTACCTAGTATTGAAAAATACTTGGACAACATTAGCAAAGGAGAGAATACTCAACCTAAAACTGAGCCATTTTAAATAGGAAAGGCTGCCATTGAGCAGGATAAATTTCTACAAGCAAAGCTAGTTTTTTTTTTGTTTCTAAATATAGGCAACTAGAGCCCTTTTTAAGGACTATCAGACAGAATAACCAATGCTTCCCTTTATATAGAGATGACCTACATCACTTGATATTTGGAATTCTCAGGCATTTTGTGAAGGAAAGTAAGTTAGGTGCCTTAAAAACAACTAGTGACATATGTCATTTAATGTCACTGATTCTGTTTAACACTTGACAAGTCATTCAATTGAAGTTGGGTTTGTTGCTGACTCTCTATTAAAATTTCTTTAAAAAAAAAAGATAAATAAGTGACCTTCCAATTCTTAATTTCATATCTGATATTAAAACAACTTTAATAGGGGTTTTTCATCATTTTTTGTGAGAAATTTAGCCTGCCTACATCTATTGCGATTGTTTGAAAATAAAGCCTGTTCACTAACAAGAATGAAGAGTATTCTTCACATCCTAGTCAACAAGCTGGAGGAGTGTCATATTATGCTGAACACTCCTTTCTTCTTCGTCTTCGGTCTTAGTTTTTAGTGTTGGAAGGGATCGAGGCTTATCTGCCAGAGGGTTTGAACTCGACTTTTTTCGAATTTATCAACCTTGAGCTCTTGCTGACTCGACTACTCTTCCATCACAATTAAGGATAAGTGTCAACTGGTTATGCGCCAGTTATGACTCCGATTTCTGCCTGCTTTTCTTTTTGGATTTGCTTCCATAGCCTTTGTCCAACCGAGAACAAACTACAAGGCAGCAGTTGCTTGATTTTGTAGTTTCCTCTACTAGAAGAGTGGCTGTCCCCAGCTAACGAGCCTCATCTACCTGAGGGTTTGAACTCGAGACTTTTCGGTTTAGCAACCGTGAGCTTTATTGACTCGACCATGCTGATAATTTTTTAATAACGCCAAAATTATTTCACCCTCATTGTAATGTTCGTTAGTGGTAGTTTTTACCTTGAAATTTCCTCCAAATCATCTTGTTTAAGTTTAAGTATTTAAAAATTGATTAAAAATATTGTCTATATCCTGAGTTGCCATCCCCCGTAGTGTTATATAAGAATAGCTAGTTGCACACATTTTTTTAAATAATTAAAATGACTAAAATAACGACGGGGTTGTATTAAGGGGACTAAATATTGCAAAATGATACCAAAATTATGTTTATAGGATAAATGGTTCTGTAGATATGACGGTTTCGGTGAAAAAATTGCAGGGACAACTAAGCCTATTGAAAATGAAAGCAAAAAGTGGTCACGTCGAAAAAAGGCGCAAGGGAAATAACTCTGCGTAGGATCACAATTATAAAATTTTCAAATAAGTATTTTTAAATATATTTAAAAAAAAAATTAGCATCTCTACCAAGATATTAATAAATTATTTAATTTAAAAGTGGTTTATTAAAAATCATTTAAATAAAAATATATCACTTGATATATTCAATAATTTAACTTAAACGTCATAGTAATAGTAACAAGAAAAGAAACTGGCTGCGTAAAAAAAGAATAAACATTCCTAATTCCTAGGTAAACAGTATAATAGAAACAGCTAATTTCAGTGCAACATATATGAGTGTTTTTGACATATTGGAAGCATGTCAGTTAAGAGATAATCTTTGGGTGTCGTTAGATAACTGAACATAGCTAGCGCGAAATAAACAGCAACGTTATTAAGAATCGAGCATTTCACACAGCTACGTAGACAGACGCTAGACACGAGGGTTTCTGTCCAGCTTTTGCCTCCAGTTTTAAATACGACATCTTGCCAACTGGTTTTGAATGTGATGGACAGCTTGGTCGTGGGATGACCTACGGTCACCAGGCCGGGTACCGATCTATCAGTTTAGTTAGTGGGCGTACTACATACTAGACCACACTGTCCAGTTGTGATAACATTTAACAAAATCTTAGGGATACCGGGTCTGGAAAAACGTCTTACAACAATGAGGATAAGCTATGGATGGGGGAGGGGGTGTGTGTAAAAAAAAGAGTGCCTTTATTTGTGGATGATGAAAGGCAGATTCAATTCCGTACCATGTTTAGAAAAGCAAAAGGTACCCCAATACTACATAGCTAACTTATCAACCATACTTTACATACTTTCAACTTCATTTTAGATGTAGTATTCGAAAAAATCAATCACACTAACTTACCCGACTCAAAGGTCTTTAACTCGGAAAGTCTCCCCCCCCTCCTCATACAATCGTTATTTGAGTGTGAGTGGGTATCAAGCAAATATAGGCCTTTGTTTACAATGGTATGTTTTATTCTTTAGCCAGATAAACTAATGTGATATGAAATAAATGAAGACTATCAGTGTACACATTCAGCTTGTTACAATAGAATGAACACACTCGTAAAATGTTGTGTTTTTAACTAATATTTTTTATATTAAAAAGATTTGGATCCCGCAGTCTACTTGGTGAATTTAACCACTATTTATTAATAATTTTGACCTTTGGCTTATAATGTTTAAGACAGCTTAGATACATCTTTATTTTACATTTTAAATAGACCTAATGGCCTAATAATATAAAACAAATATAACAGAATACGAAAGCGGAGAAAGGTAGAATCGATATCACTAATACTTAGGCCTACGGTATCTATTTTGTTAGTCGGGTTTTATAGCTTATGAACGTCTGAAGAAGAAAGTAAAAACATTTGTGAAAATAACAGTGAAAATGTACCGACTCACACTAAATTCAAATTAAGTCTGAATGTTTTCTTATTTTAATTTATCAAAATACCAACGGATATAGCAACAAAACATTAGCGATACCGTTTTTCTCGATTTTTAGATTTAAGCCTCTACTATAAGGCATTACGAAAAAGATGATTTTCGTAGTTAAAAAATTAAACTAAAAATAGTATAGTCTTACTCAAATCGAACCTAGCGTCATTATTTTTAGTTTTAAATCATTGTATATATAAGTTAATTTCAACTTTGTGTTGAGTTAGCGTATTTCTAATTCAATCATTAGTAGCATGTAGTACAGGCCGCAACATATTAGCTCGATTCACACAATTTTTACTATTTTAAAAAGGTTAATTTATTATCTTTGAATCCTCTCATTTAATAGTTTGATTATTAAAATTCTTTAAGAAAAAAAAATGTATAAAAATTGGTGACATAATTCATATAAAACGAAGGAACATGAAAATGCGGTATTGATACCGCTAGTAGGGTACCTAGTTTGTGAGACATATTGCATAGTCTGCTAAACGGATAAAACTAAAATAAGTATGCTTGTTAGAAAGCTTAATAAAAAATGAAGATAATCCTACTAAAAATAGAGTTAGTCTCAATGTTCTACTATTTTATGTAAATTTTTGAAAACTCACCTTTTAAACTCAATATGAGATTAACAAAAACAAATAAAAAGTTGAAATAAAAATTATACGGCGGTAACAGCCAATAACCGCTGCTAATAAGGAGGGCATATATAATTGGAATCATAATCGCTTTCTATCGTTTTTTAAACGGTTAACAAAGCAATGCGAACGACTACATCTGAATTAGATTTTATTGTGCACGAAAGGTTTAGAGCCTGTGACGTCATATTTTATTTACTTGTGCAACTAGCTATATAAGAATATTAGAGAAAGTTTAAGGGAGATCACTCCCGGTTTATTTTCTTGAGTCATAATTTTTCACTAAGAGACATTGTTTTTTTTTCTGTTGCCCTCAGCCAAGTTTCAAGGGTAGTTATCAATATTTTAAAAAAAATGAATAGGGTTAAATAAGGTGGTTGGTCATCTGCAGTCAGATTTCAGCCCTCTGCAAAGCCATAGCAGCTGACCAGCATTTTTCCCATATGGCCAAGTGAATTATGGAGGTCCATGCAAAAAAAGATAAACCCACAAAATAAGCACAGTAAAAAACAACAGAAATTTGCATCAGTTTTTCATAAGAATTTTTTCACAATTCCAAATTACAATTTTTGCTGTATGCTCAATATGCAAAAAAGTAAGAAGTGCATGGTTCTCATTAAAGTTTGTTAAAAATTTATTGTTTATTAAATAATGACATTAAAATTCACTAACTACATTTTTAGCTTCTCGTCTGGGTCGTAGACCAAAAAGGTTGAAAGATGCAAGTGGGGAAACAAGTAGAACACATACTACAAATCTTCCAATTGCTCCATATCCTTCTCCTCAAGAGCTATATCGACTAAGAATGGCAGAACTTCAAAAGTTGCTACAGGCTAATGGAACATTTAAAGCTGAATTAATGCAGGTAAAGTTTTTTTTACCAGCTTTGTACAATTATCTTATCTCAAAGTTATAGTAATTATTGGCCTATTTGTAATTCAAACACTCTTCTTGGTTTTTTAATTGTTCACACTTATTAGACAGGTGTAAGATGGGGAAGAAACATCTAGTCAAAATAACACTTTAAAACATGTGTTCCCAAACTGGAGGGTCGCCAACTGGTAGACTAAACCCTAGCAAAAAATGAAGACAAAAATTAATATTTAGAAAAATATCTGAAATTCGGCTTTACTAACATCACTGGAAATAGAATAGAGAATAAACAATGTGTACTAAGCAAAGTTGTTCTCAGTCATGAAAACTTCAAAACTTAAACGTCATTTTGAGACAAGTCATTCAGATCACACCAAAAAAGATATGGAGTTCTCTCATCTGCATGAAGCAAGCTGCAAACGTCAGGGATTTTATCAAATAGGAATTTTCACCAAGAAAGCAAATCATTGGTGCAAGCATCATATGAAGTCGCATTAGAAATTTCCAAGCAAAAAAAAACACACAATAGGAGAAAATCTAATCAAACCCTGTTTGTTGAAAACGTTGAAATTAATTCTTGGGGATTCCAGTGCAGAAAAGATGCAACAAATATCTCTGTCTAATAATACTATTTAGTGGTACATAGCAGACATGTCCGTAGATGTTAAAAAACAAATTTTGAATGAAATCAAACTTTTACCATTGTTTGATTTTCAAGTTGATGAATCAACAGACGTGAGTTTGTGTTCGCAGTTGCATATCTCTGTGAAATATATTCATTTAGATGATAACAAAGAAGAGTTGATATTTTGTGAAGATATCATGGGGAAAATAACTACGTTTTTAGAAACTGGATGATTAAAATGGGAAAACAACTGTGGGGTTTATACGTATGGTGCGTCATGTTTGGGTCAAAATCGGGGTTTCAGAAAAAAGTAAAATATTTAGCTCCCTAACCAATGGGAATCCAGTGCCTGATTCACCGGTATGCCCTCGCCAGCAAGACTCTTCTGACTCCATTGCAAATACAAGTCCTAAATTATAATAAATCTGGAGCCCTAAACACCCGTCTGTTTCAAGAATTGTGCAAAGACATGAATAAAGATCTTAAGGTTCTACATTACAATACGTTGGCTGTCAATAGGATATGTGAATCGTGGTTTTAAATTGAAAGATGAAATCAATTTGTTCTTGATAGTGCAAGGGAAACAAACCCTTTGATAATATGTTATCGACAAAGAGTAATTGGAGAGAGTATCATACCTCGCAGATATATTCGAATATCAACATAAGCTTAACCTGAAAACTAATGTATATTATATCTTTTCATGATATCAAAGCTGCAAAATTGGTGAAGAAAGATAAATATTGGAAATATTGCCATGTTTTGGAAACTCTGCAGTGTGGTAGATGAATCTGATTGTGAGAAAAATAAAAATTTGAAACTTGAAAACGTTATTTCCCTGAGCTGAAAGAAGAAGAATTAGCATTGTCACGTAAGCCATTCTCTGCTTCCCTAGATGTTGCCAGCATTCCCGATGAATTACAAGATGAATTCTTGGATTTGCAGAATGATTCCTCATCACTTATCGTGTTAAATGAAAAACTGCTCACACATTTTTGGTGTTGTATGCACCATTCATACCCAAACGTGAAATGAATTGCATTTCGAGTTTAAGTTCCTTTTGTATCTACATATCTTTGTGAGAATAGATTTTCAACACATCTCCAATTAAAAATAAAACAAAGAAATTAATTTAATGCTGCTAATTCATGAGGTTGGCAATAACAAAACCTCAACCGTGAATGATTCATATTGAAAGTCTACTAGAAAATCGTATTTTAGTGCTTATTAATTTCCTTACTAATTTCGACTTTTTAACCCTTTGAGCCCGCCAGGCCGGTAAACCGGCTTCAACATTAGGCATATATGTCAGAAAAGCCGGTTTTCCGGCCCGATGATTTAGCGTCATATTCCTAGCGGCCGGTATACCGTCTTATATAATATAATTAGCGAAAGACTAACTAAAACTGCGCATATGTCTTTTGAGTGCGGGATTATGATTTTAAAAATTGATTTTTAGGAAAAGTGAAAGTGAAAGTATTTACATTTCGTAGCAATGCTGCCTAAACGAAAAGCAGAGCCACAGCCGTCGACTTCATCACAAAAAGTTGGTGCAAAAGATTAAGCAAAAGACCGAAATATCAACAAAAGAAGTAGAATGACTGCATCTCAGGCAATACAACTAATTATTGATTCTGATGAAAAAGATAATATTCCTGGTCTATATTGTGATGATAGTGACGTTCAATTTGAGACTGAACACAGTGACATTGAAATTGACAGTGACAATGAAACTGTTCAAGTACGTTCTGATGCACGTGGTACCAAGGACAAAGACTTGCCGAAACGAAAAAAAAATGTTTACGGGTGCAAAACATGCGAAGTTTTTCTTTGCATCGGGTCCAGCAGTGATAACTGTTTTGAAAGATATCACACAAGTGGAATTCTGGCTATGAACTAGTATGGCCAGGTATCAATAATAACAAAACAATTACTAAATGCAAATTGGTTACTTCTATGTTTTATCAAAACAATAATTATACGTTCGTTTTATATACATTGTTCTGTTCAAACATTTAAAAAAAAAAAAGGATTTCAGAATCTTGCTGCATTGTTGTTTGACCCTGAATCTGGATACCAAATTTGGCTTGATTATCTCAAACGGTTCAAAAGTTATAGGCAAAGTCAGAAGCAGATAAGTGAAAATTGGTTTGGCCCTGGGAGCTCAGGAAATGGGAGAAATTAGGTCAGGGAGGCCAGGGCTCAAAGGGTTAATTCTATAGGAGTCGCGAGTCACTTACTTTTTATAAAAGGGGGTCGCCACTTGAAAAAGTTTGGGAACCACTGCTTTAAAAGAATGAAAATCCATTAGACAAAATAGACTGTATAATATTTTATCTAATACTTAGCACAGTAAAAATGTTTGAAACATGATATTTATTTTTATTTTTTTGTACCTGAAAACCATGTAACAGTAGGCATTAAAGATAAAAAGGACTCTGTAAAAACACATTTATACTTGGAGCTTTGCCCACATGTGCTTTGACCATATGTGGTTTTATCACTGTGGGGCTTTGAGCTTTGTAGGTTTTTCATAAAAGGGGGGGGGGGAGGGTTGATAACAGGTGCTTTGCCCATACATGGTAACCTTAGCTTAGCAAGGAATAAAAAGCTGCGTAAATATATTTTAAGAGTGCTGCATGATTTAATAATATGATTATTCTTCATATATAAATAAATACACTAATCTATACTACAAAAAACAGTACAATGTTCTGCTATGAATTTTCAAGAAGATCTACATAATTTATTTGTGAAACTTTTTGTTTACTTTATTTTCATTCTGTTTATGTTTATTAATAAATCTAGAAGGCATAGCACAAGTCTTTATATGTATTAGAATGACTGTTATTGACTTTTTAGTACATGTTAAGTCCTATTAAGGAAACATGTCATCTAAAATTGTATTGATTGAAATAATTGTATAAATAACAGCTTATTCTTCTTCTTATTATTATCTACTATATAAAGCTCAAATGGATTCTGTTTCTCTGTATGTATATGATGGGCGGGCCGACGGTCGTCTTGAAGACATGGATTTAGTAAAAAAAAAAACATGACTTGATTTTTGTACTAAAATCTAAATAGATGTCTAAAATAAATCAATATTGATCATTTTCAAACTAAATTTTTCATCTTCAACTTATTTTAATTGATGTAATGTGCAAAGAACAAAATCAAGCTAAATGTATAACCCGGCGGTAGTACATGCATACAATAACTGTATTCATGCAAGTACAGCCTACAGTCTTTATTTCCTCACTCCAGACTTTGCATTGACTTACCTTTTAGCGTCAATTTGATTAGGAGAAAAAAAAATGAAACATCGACTCAGTAAATAAATAGCTTAAAGACACAATTGGACTCAGCCTACGTTCAAGCAGCAAAAAGCACAGTAACAAAGTCCTTTACATCATTTCCACACCTCTAGCTGAGCTGGAGATCAAAGATTGATGCTTAGTAGGCAGATTGGGCCCCGGGGTCTCATCTAAAATCCGCGACAGGTTGGAGGCAGAGATCTATGTTTTAATAGAAAGGGCAGAGGTTGTACACATGGTTTATACAGTCTGGAATTTAAAATATACTCTAATTTTTGTTCATGTTAGAACATCACACGGGTCTTCATTATGTTATGATGTTTTTTGCTGGTTTGCAGAAGAAACCTGATTGCTCAGTTACTACGTCATTGGGAGAGGAGATTTTAGACTAGTCTTTTTGTTGTTGTTGCATGACTGATCATGTGAATGTGTTACGAGAATTCAAATTATTGAATGAAATGATCACATGTTGAGCTTTCAATTTTGCTAGCTATTTTTCATTAAGCGTGTCTGAGGTTGCAGGCAGGCAGTCATAACAAAAAATTATGGGCTAGTCGTGGTAGCTTAGGTATAATTTATCTATCTGTATTTTTAATTTACTTTCCGTTAAACTGTTTTTGAAATTTTAGCGAATGCTGACAATCAATTATTTCAATCACTAAAACATTGTGGGGACAAGGTAGTCAACCTTAAAAAAAAAAGTTATTTTCTGTCAATTTGGTAGAGAAAGATCATTATAAATGTTGGCTACATTTGCATAAAATTACAGTATTACTTACTTTTAAAGATTCTTATCAGTTGGTTACATAGCACATTAGAGGTCATATTAACTCTACAATGTCTATATAACTACATTTTTTTGAGAGTACCAAGGTTATACATAGAAAATTTGGTAATTTTTTGCTTCACCAGTGGTAACATTTTGACCCTTTTGCGGTTAGTTTTTTTTTGGTACTTTTTTGTCCTAATTACTGTGATCTTCTTTTTAATAATTGCACATTAAAACCAAAATCTTGTTTACAATAAAGATTGCTTTGATGTAAAAAAAATAAACTGTTTCTGACTTTTTTAGCGCAATTTCCATATGGACAATTGCGATTATTAACTCGTCAAGGATGGATGTGTGTCCGCAGCTTCAAGTCGTATCTCCTCCTCAATGAAGCAATATCGAGGACTAGTTCCAAAAGCAAATATGTTAAGCAAGTTCCGAGGATGATTGTGGGCCAAAAAAATTCCCGGAATTCCTTCCTGGATTTCCCGGAAAAGCCAAAAAACCTCCAAAAAATGCAGTTTTGGGCCCATATCTCAGCAACCAGACCACTTAGCAACTTGATTCCTGCCATAATTTAGAACAATATTGCCGAAGAAAATTTTCAAAAATATCCTTTCGTTCGGTCACAAATTTTTTTTTTAAATTACATAAACACCTACAAACTGATCGTTCTCCTAGCTTGAACGCACCCCAGCATTATATCTATTTTTAGATAACATAAGGAAATTGCGCTTAAATTGTCACTAGACTTTTTATTAACTTGTTTTTATATTGAGTTTTTATTCCTTGTTTTAAAAAGAGGACATTATCATAATCACATCTCCTACATTTTATCATAATTAAACTTGAGTCAACAGTTTTGTGTTTTTTTAAACTAATCCTTAAGTAATTTTACCTATTTTTTACATACAGTACCTAAGAGTCACATTCTTCCAAAAAGCTGTGTTAACAAATGTTTGGTATATTGTTATTTTTATAACGCCTAAAACTAAATTGTCCGCCTAAAACTAAATTGTCCGATTTGATTTGGTTTTTTTTTGTGTGGTTGCTTTAGTATATGCATTATGATTAAAATGTAAAAATTAACACACTAGTTTGTAAGTTTCTGATTAAAATGTAAAAATTAACACACTAGTTTGTAAGTTTCTTAAAATGAATAAGAAAGAAAATAATTAATCATATTATGTATTTATAGTTTAAATAATAGCATAACTTTTGGCATTATCTACATATTTTAAAATAAATATGTATAAAATAGACATTTTTCTTTCTCAGGCATTCCTTTCTGCTGCACAGCAGAGTTTTCGTGAGCACTCAAAATCAGGGGGCAGTCATGGATGTATGAGTACATCTATTAACTCAGCAAATGTTTCTTCAGATAAAAATCCTATAGCTAGTCCTCCCACACCCAGTGGTATTCATAATTCTGATGTAAAAGATATAGAAAGTCCTTCCTCAATTGAAGCACCTTCACCTTTTCCAGATCTAGTTACTGCTGATTTAAGTCCAATTCCTTTGGTGGGCAGTAATAACATGCCTACATTATTCATGGCCCAGGACAGTAACAAAAATTCAGGTATGTGGAAAATTTTATCATTGACCTGCAATCCAGTTCAAGAACTATTTTTTTCACATTCCAGATTTATTTAATAATATAATAATAAATTGCTTATAAACTATAATATTGTTTAAAATAGTGACCCTCCCCCCACTGTCCAAATTTTTTGTTGTCTATTCCCTAAACCATTTTCACCATAGAACAAATGAATTATAGATGTAATGTAACATTACTTGGTCACCACCTTGTTGTGAGCTGTCTCTTTTATTATGTCATGGAATTGTTTTTACTTTCTTGTATACGGAGTATAGATAAAGTATTGTAATCGTGCAAAAAATCTAAATCGTGATTTTCACAAATCTTGACGATTTAGACCTCCATGAGTCTGAAAAACATAATTTTGCAATCTTGTCTGTGTGTGTCTGTGAATACGATAACTTGAGTAACATTACAGCTAGGTTGATAAAATTTAATCTATAAGTATTATACTTATCAGCATTTTCCTGTAACCGGAAGTGGAACTTATTCTACTTTCAATTTTTCAAAAGTCTATAACTTGTGTACTCTTCAACTTGTGTAGTTGAAATTTTATATATGAGTAAACGATCTGATTCTCTGTTTTCTACTAAATTTTGAGTAATTTCAGGTGACCGGAAGTAGTACTTTATGTTATTTCCGATTTTTCAAACAACTCTTATGAACTTATAAAGTACTAATTTTCTGCACTGTTATACACGCATTGTTTGCAGTTCATTTAGTGCACAACTCTTTTTTCTAAGAGATTCTATTCTAGACTAAAAAGTTTAAGTATGTAAAAATTGATTAAAAAGCATGTCTGTTTCCCGAGTTGCCATCCCCTGTAGTGTAATATAAGAATATTCAAAGAAGTTTATGGGAGATCACTCCCGCTTTATTTTTTGCATTGGCACTAGGTATTACCCACCCATAAAGTATTTATTTGTGTGTGTCTTTGTAATATGCTGGGTTATGAAATGTAAACTAGGGCCTAATTGGCTGGGCCAAGTAATATGCCCAGTTTTTTAGTATATACTTTTTGGTGTATTTATTCAGATCTTAGAACAAGTAAATACATTTTGTATAGTTAAAAATATAATTACATTGTTTTGTTACAGTATATTCTCCTGGAGATCAATTACTTAATGACAACTTGCCATCACCATTCAATACTTCCTATGAATTTATAGATACAAATTCACCTTCAACGTTTATGGCATTCAATCAAAGTACTGTGACCTCTCCCAATTGTAATCTAAGTCCTACCTCTAATGGCAGTAAAAATAACTTTGAGCATACAGTGAAATCAGCTGAAATGGATAGTAACAGGTTCTTGAATATTAATGTCAATTCATCCACAATGCAACCACCAAGTTGCAACAAATTAGAGGTAAGCTTTTGTTATAAAGATACTATTGAAATGCTTTTTTAAAAAAAATATTTTTTTATTACTTTATGGCCAAGATCTAAGCATATACATATTTATACATATATATGTAGACATATTTTCTGCTTACATAAAAAAATCTGTCTAAAACTTACAACATAAATCAACTCGTATTTTATTAGTCAAAAGGTTCTTCCACAAATAACAAGATGTTGTTTTTTTTCTGTTTTCTATAAGAGGAAACGCATTGTGCCTTTTTCCGCCCTTCTTTTCACGTTTTCTCAACTTTGCATTTTTACTCAAAATTCTACATTCAAATCGCTTAGGATTTGGAACCCTTTGTCATACAAGACTGAAACATTCCACGTTCATTCAGCATTATACCCTCTACAAAACTACGTTTGTACATTAAGTTTAGTACAATAGTTTAGGAAATATTGATGTTTATGTAGCACCACCCCCTAATTTTTTTTCATAAATGTACGTAAAAATTTGTATTAAAAATTAAGTACAAGCTATCGCAATGAATAAATGTACAAATGTATAGTTTGGTTTGAGACATCTAAATTTTTATCAGCTTTTAAAAATCTCTTACGGAAACAAAGTTATAGAGGTTTGAAAAGGTGTTAGTTTTCACACTTTTTTGTGGTTTCCATGGCAACCATTACTGCTATTGGCAGCTATATATTATTTTTGTCTATAGGTTAACAACTATTGACATATAAATTTATTATGTTCACCCAGAAATGTGTTAAAAAAATATGTTTATCTGCATAGTCTATCCTTTTAAAAAGTATTGTTAATAATATAAGGCTGAAAAAATACAATTAAATACAAAATCAAATGTTTAATATTTTGCAGTTTATGTTTGTTATTGACAGAAACATTTAAATAAAGCAAGCGCTTATCTTATAAAGCCTAATTTATACTAAGTCGTTTAAAATATGCTTATTTTTTCACTACTTTCCAAGCTCAACTTTTAATATTATTTAGGCCAAAAGTGGATGAGTGTAGGGGAAGGGGTCTAAAATTTCAAATTTTGTTGACGTCTTGAATGGGGGGGGGGGGGGTTACATTAAATACCATTGTTTGTGTTTCCCCATAGAAATTAAATGAGATATTTTTATTTTACAGACTGACACATCATTTATTAAACAAGAACCACTGGTTAAGCAGGAACCATTTTTTAAACAAGAACCTTGTGAAATAAATTGTGATCAGTCAAGTTTACCGATAAACTCTATTGACGTTGCTCGAATCATGGCAGAGGTAATTTACAAAAGAAACTTTTTTTAAGCAAACATTAAAATCATACAATCAAATCCATTGCTTGGCCTCTAAATGCTATGGTTAGATATTGTTAAAATATAGCAAAGAAGTAAGGCAGTATCACTATCAGAGATGTGAAGTTTTGTATTTTTAAAAGAAATCAAAATTATTTACTGTGAAGAAAATTTTTTTAAAACAATTTTATTCACTGAAATAGTTAAAAAAAATTAAAATATCACTTTCAGTTACATGTATATTTTCTTGATGGAAAAACTAAAAATATCTTTATTGATTTTCAGAAATATGGCTAGCATCCTGTTTCTGACACTGAAAATGTTTCTAGTTTTAGATGCTATTTATTTATAAAGAAACAAAAACGAAATATCCTAGAATCTAAATATATATGAATAAAATTATGTGGGTTTGTTAGTGGGTTTGTCCTATTTGCATTATTACCATGAAACTTGGGGTAGTTGATGAGATTACGCCAGGAAAGGTTTCTGTGGGGGAAAAGTTTCAATTTCACAGGGGCGGTGCCCCAGAAGTGTGCCATTAGGCACCCCAGGCTTTACCATTAGCGCTATGGTGCATATGTCTTATGTTCATTTTAAAGAGTGCAATAGGCAAATCTATAGTTGTTCACTAGATCGAATCAGGCAAGGCTACTATTAGGGGTCTCAGCTTTCCCATGAGCGCTATGAAGCCTACGTTTGTTTTAAAAAGCACCCAGCAATATTGAGACAGTGGCACATGACATTCTATGATTAAATTGGTTGTTTATCACTGCTTAAATTGTTTTATTGCTATATATCATTACCTTCTGTCTGGCAGTGTGACATAATTATAATGCTAACTAACAAATTACAAATACTGCAATAAAGATCAGCACGCACTTTTGTTTTAGTGCCATTGTCAGAATGATTTTGCTAAAAAAATAATATTGACTAAGCTACTGCTAGTTTTGTTGAAATCTTTATGTGGGAGTTGGGGTGAGGTCATGAGTTATTTGCTAACAGAATTTTTATTTGAATGATTGATAATTACTCATTCTGCAGTCAATTCTACTATAAGAATACTACTGTTTTCAGTTAATTTTGTTTATCAAAGGTTAACATTTTCAACAATTTGAAAAGGTACATGAAACTCCTACAGACCAAAGAAGACTACTTATTGACCAAGTAACAGATGCTATAGTTGAAGCTCACATGGCTACTACCATTAATACCCATGCTAATGTCTTGGAAGCCAATGCCAGGATAGAGAGAATGAAAACATCTAATGAAATAGTTAGTATCCATTTCTGCTTTATTTTATGTTTAGTTATTTTAATTTCAGGTGAATATTTTTATTGATATGGTTTTTTTGTGTGTATTTATTGTTAATTGTGTATCTGCGTGAATCTATCTATCTATATATATATAAAGCTATATATGTGTGCCTGTTTTTTATGCATTACTACACCTCTCATCCCAGCTCATGAAACTTTGGGAAGTTGTTGAGAATATTCCTGGGGAGGTTTCTGAGAGAACGAAAAATGTCAAATTCGCAGGGCGCAATTTGTTTTTCTCTATATACGGTATATAAAAATAAAAACCGATTGCGGTTTCACACCGTTCATCCGATTGCTATCAAACTTTGGTGAATTTATTAGAACACTCCAGGAAAGGGTTCTGTAAAAAAAAATACTTTTTTATTTCGCAAGGGCGGTGCCCCTGGAGGGTGCCTTTTTTCTTTAAATACAGTATATAAAAATAAAAGTCAAATGCGGTTTGACACAGTTCATCCGATCGCCATGAAATCTGGGAGTTAATTAGTACACTCCTGGTGAGGCTTCTGTAAAAAAATCTTTTTTCAATTTTGCAAGGGCGGTGCCACTGGAGGGTATATAAAAATAAAAGTCAATTGCTGGTTGACACTGTCCAACTTTGGAGAGTTGTTGAGAATACTCCTGGGGAGGTTTCTGCGGGGAAAAAATGCAAATTCGCAGGGGTGGTGCCTCGGCAGGACGTGATTTGTTTTTTCTTTATGTACTGTATATAAAAATAAAAGTCAATTGCGGTTTGACACCAGAGTTGATTAGGAATTTTAATTTCGCAAAGGAGGCGTCCCGGGAAGGTGCAATTTTTCTCTATGTGTGGTATGTAAAAAAAAATGGATTGCGGTTTGATACCATTTATCCGACTGCCATAAAACTTTAGGGAGTTGATGAATACTCCCGATAAGTTTTCTGGGTGGGGGGGGGGGGGGTGTTACGCTTAGTGAGAGGGCTTCACCTGATTCGATTCCATACCACTATATTACGTTGCACTATCATGTAAAGGGGTTGTATCCACAGACAGGCTTCATGCACTTGCTCACCGAGACAATACAAGTGACGACCAATCAATGAGATGAACTCAGATTTCGTGTTCTTAGATTTATTATCATACTTGACTCATGTACATCTTTTCGCCACGACTATCAAGAGAAGACTGCCTCACACACACTCCCCAGCAACCAGTCTCTACACAAAATTGTCACCGTCGAAAAAATCCTGTTGATTTGTGTAATTTTACCCAATGACGCAATATGCGTCATTTTTGTGGATGCTATGCGGCGCTCTTGGTTATCCTGTGAGCACTATGGCGCCTATGTTATTTTTAATTAACAAGGGGCCGTATGCTGCACCTCTGCAGTAGTGTAATTGGGGGGTCCCGAGATAGTCCCTTTACGTCCCTGACACATAGGCGGTCACCAAAGTGTGTTCTACCTCATTATTTCAGTGAGTGGTTACTCCAAGGGAGTTTTCTGCTGAAAATTTTTAAAATTTCAATTTCTCAGGTGCTGTTCCCCAGCAGGGTTGCAATGCAATTTTTCTCTAAATACGTCATATAAAAATAAGTCTGATGCGGGTTTGACACCGTTCATCCAAGTAACATGAAACTTTGAGAATACTCGAAGGAGGTTTCTGTTGAGAAAAAAAATTCAATTTTGCAGAGGCGGGGCACCCCGGGCTTTCCCGTGAGTGCTATGGGGTATACTTAAGTTTTAAAGAGTGCGATACAGGGTGCTATTTGGCGCCCAGACTTTCCAATGAGCTCTATGGCGCTTACATTTGTTTTAAACAGTGATTTAGACTGGATAAGACGGAAAACTGAATTGAATCTTGGTTGTTTTGGCACCCACAGGCTATCCTGTGAGCACCATGTCGCTTACGTTCTTTTTAAAAAGTTCCATACAATATTTACACGGTGGCACATAACATTTGATGATGAAACCAAGCCATGGCTGAATGAGAGCACCCCTCTAGGTCCTTGACATGCTGGCAGTTGCTGAAGTGTGTTCTTCCTCACTATTACAGAGAATGATTAACATACACTTAAGGTCCTGGGGTATGCTGGGCGGTAATGTGGGCAAATGTGATCCAAGAAATATAGCACAGGCATTGTTTATATAATTCAGTGTTAGAAAACAAGGTCTAAGAATATAGTATTGGTAACACAATTATGAAAACCTATTAAAATATTGCATCAGACTTTTCTAAGACCATGGCAACGGATGGGGACTGGCATGCTAGGCAACAGATGGGGACTGGCATGCTAGTAAGAATATGTTTAGGTTAGTTTATTTGTCCTTTAGGCATTATTTTTCCTTTCTTCCGATTGCCCTGAAACTTTAGGCTGTGGATGAGAATTCTCCAGGGGAGGTTTCTGCAAGAAACTTATTTAATTTCTGAGACCAGCACACCAGCAGCGTGCAATTTTAGCCCATGCTTATGGTGCTTACATTTGTTTTGAAGAGCACTACAATCATTCACTAAATCAAATCAGGTGCGTCTTCTGCAATTCGCCTCCCCAGTCTCCATTGTGAGCAACACTATTATCCTGTTGCTTTATCTACTTTTTTTTTACCATCGTTATAATAATGATTGATGGTTGTTGAAAACGTTACACAAATCAAAAGGGTTTTTTAACAAGTACAATTTTTTTTTTAATTGAAGTGTTATAAACATCAGTGTGACTGATGCAATTTGTTAGCATTACTAATGGTATATTATTAGAAGCTCAATCTCAATTTCTGATTGGATCATCTAAAAATAAATGCTAATTGCCTCATTCGCAAAGTGCCGAAACTGTACAGCAGATTTCCTCGCGTTACAAAGTTAATTTTAGAAGTGTGACTTTTATTTTTTATTTGAATTTCCCTTCTAAACTTAATTTTTTATGTAAATATTTACATTATTTTGAGAACTGTAGGCTTTGGAATTCTTTGGATATTTTACGGACAATAGGAAACAAACCAGTGTTAATAATCTAACCTTGGTTAATTTTCCTGATTTTTTAAAAGAAAACGTATTACAGGGCCCTCAGCAGCCCGCGTGAGCATTTGGGGTCCGAAACTGAAATTTTTGTTTGCACCCTACCAGCGCACCGGCTGACGCGCATGATTCAATTTAGTGAGCGACTGTAAATGCCCATCTTATCCATTATCTACCGCACTGTTTAGAACAAACGTAGGTGCCATTGCACTCACGGAAAAGCCCAGGGCGCCAAATTGAACCCTGCAGGGGCGCGGAAGGACGCGCCTGGTTCAATATAGTCAATGATTATTGTTGTGCCTCTTGAAGTTTTTACGCGAGTATAGTATTACTCCTTACTTGCTTTGCAGGGCACACAATTAGCGGATGCCACGTGCTAACGTAGCCGCTCTGGAACTCTGGGGTCCAAATTGTGTATTGACAAAAATCACACCCTTGCAGGCGCCACTCATATCATATTTTCATTATTTTGTACACAGAAACCTTCTTGGGAGTATTCTCATCAACTCCCCAAAGTTTCATGGCACACGGATGAAAGGTGTCAAACCGCATCTTTTTATTTTTTATATACTGTATATAGAGAAAAATCGAAAAATGGCACCACCCCTGAAAATTTTGAAAATGTTTATTGCGCAGAAACCTCCCCAGGAGTATCCTCAACATCTTCCCAAAGTTTGATGGTGATCTTGTGAATGGTGTCACTGCGATTCACTTTTATTTTTCTATTCCATATATAAAGAAAAATCGCACCCTCCCGTGGCACCGCCTTTGCGGAATTAAAAATGGTACTTTTACAGAACCCTTCCACAAAGTGTTCTTATGAACTCAACAAAGTTTGATGGCGATCGGATGAACGCTGTCAAACCAAAATCGATTTTTATTTTTATATACCGTACATAGTGAAAAATCTCACCCTCTGTGGCGACGCCTTTGCGAAATTAAAAATGATTTTTTTACAGAACCCTTCCTCGGAATGTTCTAATTAACTCTTCAAAGTTTGATGGCGTTAGGATAAACACTGTCAAACCAAAAGAGACTTTTATTTTTTATATACCGTATATAGAGAAAAAAAAATAGCGCAGTGCCGGGGCGCTATCCCTGCGAATTTGAAATTTTTTTTTGGCAGAAACCTCCCCAGAAATATTCTTAACAACTAACCAAAGTTCCACGGCTATGTGATGAGAGGTGTAGTAATGCATAAAAGACAGACAGACAGATACATAGACATATATATATATATATATATATATATAGTTCCATGACAAATCTCAAAGACAAATGATCTCACGGACAAATGATACCAGGTTTAAATATATCAGGACAAATGATACCATGGACAAATGAAACACTCTACCGACTATACTGTAGCGTTTTAAAATGAGTTTTGTTAATATTTACAAAATTATAGCAGGTTTTAAAAGATAGTCAGTTTTGTCGGTCTAAAACTCTCGCAGCCAAACCGTCTATCTGTGCGCGCGCAGACTTGGCCGTTTTGAACCGAGAATTTTGGTCTCAGCCGCGTACATTAGTTTTGTCCAATGAATATGATTTTGTTATGTTATGTTTTTAAGTTATAATTAACACTTCATAATATTTAGATTATAGTTTTGGGCTCATATTTTAATTATTTGAGTTTATTCTACTTTATGGGGTTGGTTTAATTTTAGTAGAAATGTTTTAGTATGGCTTTATCGCTTTTGACTGTTATTCATTATGGCTGTATTTAGCATTAGACTTGTTAGCTGTTGAAGGTTACATATATTACATCTTTCTATTCTCAGTTTATTTTACTAAATCTGGTGGTTGCTGGGTTTGTAGAATGATAAAAGTAAAAATATAAACCTTATTGTCAGATATATTATGAATGAGACATAACACATTAATCACATTAATAATGACTTAATACTAATAGTTTCGCTGTCTGTGTATCTATCTATCTGTCTATGTATCTGACAAGAACGCTATAGAGAAAACACAAGCAAATTAAAA